TTCTTCAGCCACTCAGGATTCAAAATGATCCTTTGACACCTACGATGCAAATACTAGGCCTGTATGACTGTCGGCTCTCCCACCGAAGCCAGTACACATGCTGAGGGTTAAAACAGATCGAGTCAGAGGGGTAAGTCGGACAGAAAACAGCCATTCACGGAAGTACAATGAGCTGCCTTTTTCTGACTCTCCTGGTGAGTTTCTTCAGTTCAGAAGGAGTAAGCACATTATCCAGCTCAGCCAACAATGGGAGATCCGTTTGCTTTCCTGGTTGCTTATTTTTTGCCTAGGGAATTATAGGAAAAACTACATGACAGCACTAGGGAATTAAAAGAGAAGTAAGATTTCCTAGAGTGCCTACTGGCACTGGGGTAGAAGCATCTACACCAAACAGGAGTTAACAATAACTGAAAGGGGCTGGCAGGTGGCATGGTGGCTAAGGCAGCTGGACTCACACATGGCAGACTATGGTTCAAGTCCTGGACCTGGCAGCTTGCTTTCTCACTTTTTCTCTCACTCTGGTCAAGTTTTTAAAAAACAATAATAAAATAATGACAGTGAATAAAATAAAAACAAAAAAAATTTTTTAAAAAGAATAACTGGAAGAACATGGGCGAAATCCATTTTCTATAGAGAGGATGATTTTTATTAAGTATCTCTAAAACTGACATTTAACAGAGCAGCCGGAGTACTGAAACCCATGGTGTGAACAGTAGGAAGACAGGGCCAGCCCTACAGCGAGTGGTAAAGGCAGTCGGATCCCACATCACCGACCACGATTGGGCCCTGGCCGTGGTGACACAGAAATCATGTCGGTGTCTCTGCTTAAATTCTGACAGGACGGAGGAATGGAGAAGGGACCACCACGTGACCACGCCCCACCGGGCCCGCTTTCTCCCTCTCCTTTTCACTCTCTGTCTCTCTGGTGAACACGACTGCCCTCAGCAATTAAAGTGAAAGAAATGGGATAGGGACCAGAAGATGGCATGTTTACGGTGCTGGGCGCCACGTAGTCAACCACAGTTTGAGTCCCAGACCTGGGGGCTTAAAACTCAGGCCAGGTGTGCGTGTGTGTGCACACCCAAAATCCCAAGAGGAGAATGAAGAAGGGATTGCAGTGTGGCTATCCCTTCTGGGGGTGATCTCTCGCTTTCTGTCTCTCCTCTCCAGCGAGCACACAGTCCCTATAGCAAAAATCTCTTTTTTCTTTTTTCTTTTTTTAAACGTAGGATAATAAGTGGCATGGAGGTTAAGGCACTGGATCCCACATAGCCAACTGGGTGGTTCAAGTCTCAGCTGTGGTGGCTTAAGATCACACCAGGCAAATACGCAAGCGTGCCCAAGCTCCCATGAGGAGAATGAAGGACTGCGGCATGGCTATTCCCCCAAGCCTCCCCCTCCCCCCTGGGGGGTGGTTTCTCACTCTCCCCCATCTCTCTTTCTCTCTGTCTCTCTTTGGTTGAGCACACGTGCCCTATAGCATAAACAACTAAAACTAAACTGAAATAATAAGATAGTGAGGTACCTAAAATTTTTAGTTTACTGTTTAGACAGTACCTAACTGTTGTGATCCTCCTCCCTCAGCCTCCCAAGCAGCTGCGACTATGGCCCACACCACTGTGCCCAGTTTTCCACCGTGGCTGGGAATCAAACCTGGGCCTCCCATGTGGACTCAGCCTGCTGAGAGGCAGACTACAGCTGGGTCAGTGAAGTTTTTAAAAAATAAGATAAAATGAAGTCTGCTGGGAAGCTATGAACTGACCGTCAAGGTACTGCCACGGCCCAGGGCACGGAAGCATCTTCGGAGCTAGTTCGTAAGTCATACAGAAACAGTGAAGGACTGCTTCGACATTCATCACCCACCTTGACGTGAGTGAGAATGCTCTCTTCAAGCCAACACATGCAGGTAAAGATGCCAAGGCCAGGGGCTAAGGGACGCATGGAACGTCAGAGTATCATAAAGCTATTAGATCGGAGAGCCAGAGGGGACATTAGCAGTTGGCTGCCATCAACATGCTTGGCAAGCGTCCAGTTACGATCCACACGTTCCATCCCAGTGGGTACAACTCACTGCTTAGCTGAGCGGCCACCTTCTGCTGGAGGCCCCGAGTGGTCACCTCCTCTGAATGCCGCTGGGCTAACAGCCCTCAAAAATAAAGTGCAAGCATCCAGAACTGACCACAGCGTTCCCGAAGGTTAATCAGTGACACTGAGGCAGCTGTACTGGTCTGCACGCTGTATTTCTAGTCCACCTAAAACCGCGTTAACTGTTAAACTGCGTTACAGTCAGCCAGCTTATTATAAATTTACGGTACATTAATATCCTATACCCTTTTTATTTCAATCAAGGTTAAATGTACCCATGTATTCTTTTTTAAATTCTAAAGTTTAACTCTTATTGGGATTTTGTTGGATGCCTAGTGTGTGTGAACTATTCCCCCCATGTGGTATGTATGTATTTAACATGTTTATGCCTGCACTGAATTATGGTTAGGCTGGGGGCCAGGTGCTGAGAACCTCATGACTCAACATAAACCAACTATTTAGAAGAAACAAAGAAGCAGCAGAGGCAGGACCAGAGCCAAGTCATCCTGACTCCCAGTTCACCCTTCAGAGTCACAAAAGCACCCTTGGAGTATTTGCAACCAGTGCAGGAGGGGCCAAAGTGAAGCTCTCGGGACTTCTCGCAAGATGGCCGACTACAGGTGCCCAACATGATTCTGACCCAAATAAAGGCCCCAAACAAAGAACAAGCAGCTGGTGTTCAGCTAGAGTGCTTGCGGGAGAGCATGGGACGTGGCAGGGATGTACATGCTGGGATGGTGAGGAGCATGGAGACTCAGGAGGGCCTTGCATCGTGGGCAGCAAAGTGTCCCACCCCTGCCACCCTCTCTCTCCAGTTGGGACTGCTGTGAAATCCAAAGGGACTTCTCACAGAGAGGGGGTAAGCAAGAGACATCTTGGGTGCCCCACTCACACCTCAACATAAAAGAATATAGATAGACAATTAAACAAAATCAGGAAAACAATACAGGATCTGAATGAGAAATGCAATAGAAATAGATAAACCAAACGATAATCTTGGAGTTGAATAATTCAATTACACACACACACACACTATTGAGAGCTTCAACAACAGATTTGATGAAGTAGAAGACAGAATTTCTGACCTCGAAGACAGGTCACCATGACACTTAAAAGTCTTTACTGCAGCAGAGCACAGAGCCTTCAGACGCTGAGCCCAGTTTGGGGAATGGCCGAGGGGTCCGTGGTGCGGGACTGTCCCACAGAAGGAGTTCAGACCTAGTTGTACCCTCCCCCACCCTGGCTCTGGCTGTGTAACCATATCTACTCCTGGAGCAGCTGGACAAGGGACTGTGTCCACAACTGACCTGCCAAAGAGGTCCTGTCCCTTCTTTCTAAGAGACCAGCCAACTCATGTTCCATGGGGGCAACTGGGTGAGTGACCCCGCTCACAGCTGTGAGCTGCACAAGGAGCGCCACCCCACCCTCATCCTGCAAGTGACTCTGCCCACAACCACCCCCACCAGGAGCTGTGACAGTAGCCCTGGCACGCCAGGCTCTGGTCCTCGGGGAGCAGCCAGGACTCCATCTGCACCTATGCACCATTCAGGGAGCTACCAGAGCAGCCCCACCCACCTGCAGCTCACGGAAACAGCCAGGTGACCTGACTCCTACCACACGCCACACCCATAAATACCAGAGCAACCACACCAACCCACAAACACGCACCCTGCCCAGCCGGCATCTCAGGACCCATCCACAAGAGAAAGTCTTGCAAATATTATAGGACACAAGAAACATGAAAAAGAAAAATAACATGATATCCATAAAGTAACATAGTAATTCTCTAACAACAGACCAAAAAATGAAACCTATAAAATGCTTGAAAAAAAAATCATTAGAAACTCAGCAATATAAAAGAATATAGATAGACAATTAAACAAAATCAGGAAAACAATACAGGATCTGAATAAGAAATGCAATAGAAATAGATAAACCAAACGATAATCTTGGAGTTGAATAATTCAATTATACACACACACAAACACACACACACACACACACACACACACACACACACACTATTGAGAGCTTCAACAACAGATTTGATGAAGTAGAAGACAGAATTTCTGACCTCGAAGATAGGTCACCATGACATTCAAAGGAACTCCTAAAGATAAGTTTTCAGAAATAACCAAACAACCCAACAGAAAAACCTATGGAATATCATCACATAACAAAAGAGAATGTCAGAATTTTTCAAGTCTTTGGAAGAATATAAACTCCAGATCCAGGTAGCTCAAAGGTCCTCTCCAAGGCACATTACAGTCCAACTGTCAAAAAGGAAAATTCTGAAAACAACAAGAGAAAAGTTTCAAAGTTACATGTGAGAGAACTTCCATTAGAATAACACCAAATTTCTCAACAGAAACCTTAGAGCCAGAAGAAAATGGAATGATGAACAAACAAAAACAAAAATGTCAACACAATACACCCAGGAAAGCCATCCTGTGGGAGGCTGCGCACCAGCGAATATCGCCGATTTCTCAGAAAGCAAACAATTACACAATGCCAAAGGCCATGATTGGCTCCCCTTCAAAAACCTCACCTTCAGAACCATACTCTGATTGGCTACTTCCCATAAAGGCCACAATTGGTTCCCTTCAAAAAACTTGACCTTCGAAACCATACTCTGATTGGCCACTTCCCATAGCAAATGGGTGAGCTTAGAATCCCTCAGATTTGCATAATCCGGCACCTTATGATTGGTTCACAGAAGCAACCAATCATAACCCACCTTTTACAATCCTTCATTCAACCAATCACGGCCCACAGCGTGTATAATAACCACAATGCCTGGCCCACAATAGCCAGACAACCAGGAAGATGACACTGAAGAGTTGTAGCACTACATCGTCTCCGGACGACCCTGAAGAGTTGTGACACTGTGTCATCTCCATGCTGCTCACAATAGATGATGCGACCCTGAAGAGTTGTAACACTGCGTTGTCTCCGTGCTGTACCTTGCTGCCCACAATAAACAGATGACACTGAAGACACTGTGTCGTCTTCATGCTATAACACTACGCTGCTTGTCCCGGCTCTCACTCCTTCACTCAGGAAACCTGTTTGACTGTCCCCCCAGGTCAGGACACCTGAGCACACCAGGCTTGCGTGTGCCTGTGATCCAGGGATAGCTGGAGCCAAGGGTGGGTTGTAGGATCAAGACCCTGTTGGGGGTGTTGTCTTTCGCAGAGAATCGTCCCGAGATAGGACGGCAGAGAATCGTCCGGGAGGGGACGGCAGAGAATCGTCCTGAGATAGGACGGCAGAGAATCGTCCCGGGAGGGGACGGCAGAGAATTGTCCCGAGATAGGATGGCAGAGAATCGTCCCGGGAGGGGACGGCAGAGAATTGTCCCGAGATAGGACGGCAGAGAATTGTCCTGGGAGGGGACAGCAGAGAATCGTCCCGAGAAAGGCTACAGATGAGGATGGCAGAGAATTGTCCCGGTGAGTAACAAAGATCGCTTACTGTGGAAGGCTGCTCACCAGCGAGTCTGCCGAGGTTTCTCAGAGAGCAAACAATTGCCATGATTGGTTCCCTTCAAAAAACCTGACCTTTGAAACCTTGCTCTTATTGGCCACTAGAATCCCTCAGATTTGCATATCAGGCACCTCCTTCCAAAAGCAACCAATCATAACCCACCATTTATAACCAATCACGGCCCACCGTTTACAACCAATCACAGCCCACCAGCATGTATATAACCACGATGCCTGGCCCACAGTAGCCAGACAACCAGGAAGACGACACAGACGACCAGGAAGAACATGACGACCCTGGAGAGCCTGAAAAGCTGAAACACCGCAGTCTCCAGACGACCCTAAAGACCCTGAAGAGTTGTAACACTGCATCGTCTCTGGACGACCCTGAAGGGCTGTGACACTGCGTCGTCTCCGTATTGCTCACAATAGACGACGCGACCCTGAAGAATTGTAACACTGCGTCATCTCCATGCTGTACCGTGCTGCCCACAATAAACAGACGACACTGAAGACATTGTGTCATCTCCGTGTTGTAACACTACGCCGCTTGTCCTGGCTCTCACTCCTTCACTCAGGAAACCTGTTCGACCGTTGCCTAGGTCGGCACACCATCCTTCGGAAATTAAGGAGAAATAGTCTTTCCAAGACAAGAAAAAGCTGAGGAAATTTATCTCCAGTACACAGGCTTTAAAAGACATGTTCAAGGTTGTTCTATGTCTGGAAGTGAAACAATAACTACCATCATGAAGACATATCAAAGTGTAAAACTCATCTGTAAGCAGATATATGAGAAAAAAAAAGAATCAAGTCTTAACAGTAGAGGAAACCACAAAGACAAGAGAAAAGGAAATAAAAACCATAAAATGACAAAAGTCTTCCCCTATCAAGAATAATTTTGAATGTTAATGGATTAAACTCCCAAATTAAAAGATACAGACAGAAACCAAAGGTGAGCAGGAAAAGCTCTACTTAGACAAAAGACTGCAATTCAGAGAGTGTGGAAGAGACAACCGTGGAAGAGCAAGCGCATAGCATCCAACACTGGAGTACTCAAATATTAGACCTGAAGGGAGGGACAGACTTTGAAACAACAGTTGGGAATGTCAACTCTCAGTGGACAGATTATATAGATAGAAAACCAACAAAGGAATATTGAATTTAAATTACACCACAGACCAAGTGGACCTGACAGACATTTTACAGAATATTTCATCCAATGGCTGCAGAATATACATCTTCTCATAAGGAAATAAAACATTCTCCAGAACAGACCAGGTGATAGGCACAAAACATGTCTCAATAAACTTAAAAAAAAAACAAAAAACTGAAATCTTATCAAGTACCTTTTCTTACCACAACAGAATAAGACTACAAAGTAATAACAAGTCTGTTGTCTACCCGCCCAGCTGCAGGGTGGCACAGGCTTTGCCTTGGAAGGGGCAGGGAGAGCAAGTTGGACGGTGCTGGGTGGTGGCAGCTTGGCCCCCGACATCTATTTAATTGCTCAACTTCCACTGATGAAGACATGCTGGAATAACTGCTGAAACCGCCTCTTACCGACCAAGGCAGCTCAATTGTTTTGCTTTTTGGTTTTCCCTACTGTTTTGAGTTTTACTGTAACAGCTGAAAAACTCAGGAAATAAAATGAATATGCTGTGGTCTTGAAAAAAAATTAAAGTAATAACAAGAGGAACTTTGGAAACCAGAAATATATGGATTTTTTTCCCCCAGAGGTTTTTGCTATAGGGTGCATGCACTTGTCAGAAAGAGAGACAGAGAGATAGAAAGCGAGAAATCACCCCAGAATCCCTTCTCCTCCATGCTCTTCTTGAGATCTTGGGCACACACTCACACGTGCCTGGTGTGAGTTTAAGCCACCACAGGTCTGGGATTCGAACCGTGGTGGAGTATATGGGAGTCCAGAGACGTAGCCATTATGCCAACTGGTGGTCCCAAAATACATGGAAACGAAACATGCTCCTGAATGACCACTGGTTTAATGAATAAATTAAGAAGGACACTTAAAATTATCTTGAAACAATGAAAAGAAAACATAATATACCCAAACCATGAGAGATTAAAAAAACAAAAACAAAAAAAACCCCAAAGATTTCAAATAAACAACTTAATGATACATCTCAAGGAACTAGAAAAGCAAGAACGAACCAAACCTAAATTAGCAGGACCAAAAAAAAAAAGATTACAGCATAAATAAATGAAATTAAGACCACCCCCCCCACGCACACACACACAAGATAAACAAAGCAAAAAGTTCTATAAAAGAAACACAGATTAAGGGACCAGCAGTTAGCGTAATGACTACGTCACTGGACTCCCACGTAGTCGACAGCTGTTCGAGTCCTGGACCCAGTGGCTTAAACTCACGCCAGGCGTGTGTGCGTGCGTTCTCAAGATCCCGAGAGGAAAATGGAGAAGGGATTGCAGCATGGCCATCCCCCCGGGGGGTGATTTCTCACTTTCTATCTCTCTATCTCTCTCTGTCTGGTAAGCGCACGCACCCTATAGCAAAAAAAAAAAAAAATCTTTAAAAAAAAGAAACACAGATTGAGAAATAGGTATTCTGTTAACCAAATGGATTTTCGCTGCTCTCAGCACAAAAAAATGAACAATGTAACATGACAGAAGTATAATCTGCTTCACTACAGTCATCACTAAACCATCCACATGTAGCTCAGTATTATCTTTGATTGTTGCTTATCCCATGATATCTGTTGTAAACGTCAAATATACACAGTGAAAACCCAGAACCTTTAAGTGGAGCTCTCAGGAGTTCACTTGATATTGTCTTGTTATATCCTCATGTCCAAGCTGGAAAATCACTGACAGAATGACAGTATTCACAGGGGGCTTGGAAACTATTCCTAACTGTGCTATCTTGGGAAATATCACAATTTCCCCAGGTCGCTTCCTCACCTGTGAGATAGGGTTATAGGTTCAAATCTCTTAAGATCCTTTTTTCTTCTCTCTTTTTTTTCTTTTTTTTTTTTAAGTATTTTTTCCCCCATAGGGCATGTGTGTTTACCAGAGACAGAGAGAGACACATAGGGGGAAAGTGAGAAATCACCCTCAGGGGGGATGGCCACACCACAATCCATTCTCTTTCATTCTTTGGGCACGCATGCACAATGCCTAGTGTGATTTTCTTTTTTTTTAACTTAAAAAAAATTATTATTTAACTTTATTTATGACTGCTATTTTAAATTTACTACACGTCATGTGCACTTACCAGAAAGAGAAAGAGAGGGAGAGAGAACATGAGAAAGCAAGCTCCCAGATCCAGGACTCGAATCATGGTTGGTCATGTGGGAATCCAGCACCTTAACCACCATGCCATTTGCTGGCCCCACCCGGCATGATTTTCAAGATGCCACGTCTGAGACTTGAACTGCAGTCAGCCATGTAGGAATCCAGTGCCTTAACTACCATACCACCTGCTGGTCCTCCTTATCTTTCTTTTTTAAATTTATCTTTAATGCCAGAGGGTGCATGCACTCACCAGAGAAAGACAGGAACATGGACAGAGAAGGAGAGGAAAAGAGCACTCCCAGCAGGGCATGGTCCAAGCACAATTCCATTTCCTCCATTTATATCTCCCTCCTACTGGGATTCTTTTTTTTTTATTGAGAGGTTTTTGCTATAGGGCGCGTGCGCTCACCAGACAGACAGAGACAGACAGACAGAAAGCAAGAAATCACAACCCCAGGGGGGATGGCCATGCTGCAATCCCTTCTCTTCCAATCTCCTCTCGGGATCTTGGGCATGCACGCACATGCGCCCGGTGTGAGTTTTAAGCCACTGGGTCCGGGACTCGAACCACAGTCGACTACGTGGGAATCCAACGACATAGCCATTATGCTAACTGCTGGTCCCCCTCCTACTGGGATTGTGAGCAAGTGCAAGCACACACCTGGGGTGTCTCTCAAGCCAATAGGGCCGAGATCCCAACCAACGCCAGCTATGTGGGATCCAGCTCCCTTGCCCACCAGGCTACGGGCTGGCCGTGTTTTTGAACATAAAGACTCTGTGGCATCGGGAAGTCTAGTATCTAACGTGCTGAGGCAGCACACCGTGTGAGTGACCAAACCCAGTCTTTGTACCACATGCATGTATGGTATCTTTAAACTCACTTTGAACGCTCTGAGAAAACGCTTTGACCCAGGCATACATTTTGATAAACTTAATGTAGGTGAGAACTTCATTCATCTTCTGGACACGGTCATCTGTGGCGGCCACACATCTCCTCCTGAAATATGCAGTGAGCCGTGATGCGAACATCTGCAAGGAAAAGCAATGCCATGCCGGTTAGCGCTCCTCAGATGTAAAAGCTGCTGACCTGCTCAAGGTCATTCCATCTGAAATGAACACATGACCTGGTTTTCTGGGGCAGGCCAGACTGCATGCACTCGTGCGGTACTATTTTTTAATAAAAGTGATCTATTACATTATAATGAAATGATGTCTAATTCTTCTCTCTTTTTACGGCGGTGAAGACAAGCGGATACCTGTTCTATCATAGTGATCATAGGTACTGAGGGCTTCCCAAGGGGAAGCAGGAGAGCCCATCAGTTAGCGCCAACTCTAGACGGGGTAACTCGAACGCTGCTGAGTACCTGGGCACGGCGTCTTGCTGCCCTTCTCCTTCACTCAGACTCTCTTTAATGCCATCAGGAGCCACTGCCTTTATGCTAGCGACACCTCCCTCTCAAGTCAGACTTCTGCTTGTATGGGCTGGGCACTGCCTAGCTCGACTTTTCCAAATCAGGGACCTGCTCTGAGGGCATTTCCATCAGCCATGCCTACTACAACCCAATGGCAGAAACTCATCTCCTAAGGGGAAGCCACCAGGAGACAGCTAGGAGGCTTACTCACCATGGCTGGATAAAAGAGGATAAAAACAGCTGATCCCAGGAGGCCAGTCGGTCCCAGAATAATTACACTGTAAACCATGCCTAGGATGGCCACAACGGGGCCTCCGGCCAACAAGCTGCCCACGGCGGCGGCCTCAAACATCCTGTGCCCATCGTTGGAGCAGATGTTGATGAGCTGCAAGACACAAAGAGCAGCTGGAGACCCTGCCAGGACACAGGTCGCTTGTCTCGGGATGGAGATGAAGGACAAAACGGCGACCCAGAGGGAAGGCGTTTGAGCTGGGAGCTCGCTCTCTGCTGTGAAGCCAACAGCCGTCACTCACCTCGCCCAGCGACTTCTCTTTAATGTTCTTTAACTTAAGGATCTTCTTAAACGCCATGGTCAAGATGGCCCCTCTCAAGCGGACACCAGTTCGATAATTCAAAGCCCAAGTCAGAGCGAGCGACCAAGACCGCACGATTTCTGTCAGGAGGAGGCCCAGGACTAACAGCAAGCTGTACTGCAGGTTGGACTCTGTTGCCTGCGTGTACTCCAAGAGGTGCTTCACCATGAAGGCCTACAGGGAGAAACACACACCGCCGTCAGCACCTGCGCGGCACCCAGCACACTGCCACAGGTTCATGCTACGTTAGAAAGAGCAGGCAGCCCCACCGTGCAGGGACCAGTGGGTGGGCAAAGCGAGACCCTCTCGGAGGCCCAAATGTTGCCGACAGGGACCTATTCGGGACACTTTTCAGGAGACAGGTCTAATCCGGAACTTTCTTTCTTAAGGACACCTTCAAACCATTACTCTTTCTAATGTAACATAAACCTGCCCATGAGCTGAAGTTAATTCTAAACACGTGGCCATTCCAAAGTATATATTTGACCTTAGTCCAGTATTTCCACACATGGATACATTTCTTTAAATGAAATTAAGACCTTTGGGGGATCGTTTCAAACGTGCTTATTTGATAAAAAGGAACAGTGTACCTACAGTTGTACTGGGGAAGAGTGAGAAGTGCATTTGCAAAACATTCCTGAAAATAAACATCGGCAGTTTAATAGTACAGAAGAGAGCAAACAAAGCCGACTACCACAAATCCAGAGACCCTCCCATGGGCCCGCCCCACGCCCCGCTCCCTCCCGAAAACAAAAACATGTTACCTCAGGTAGCATATGTCTAACACCACCTGCAGAGGGGAGGCAGCCAGCCCCCAAGAGCCACGAGTGCCACTGCAGCTCTGAGGTCCTGCAACGCCGGAGCACACACTCACACAAGGCACATTCAGCAACAGGATTCAATACCAGCAAGTGGGGAGTAATGTACTTTTATTGAAAACGAAAAAAATATAAAAGTACCATCTTCAAAGAGCATCTCACAAACACTGTACAACAGGAGCATTGCAGTAATACAGTGGGAAATACAGAGTCGCGTTATACAGGGCTAGCCATCCGCAGGCCAGCGCCTCCGGCTGTTGATTAACGACACACAGTGGAAATACAGAAGAAAACCAGTATCTGTTTCCAGAGTCCGAAGTCGTACATCAGGCTGCCAGCACTTAATCGGTTAGAGCTCCTCAAGTTGCAGTGATTCTGCAAGGAAGTAGATTCCCTAGGAAGAAAGACCTGGCTGCTAAGGAAAGAGAATGCATATGTCTAACACCACCTGCAGAGGGGAGGCAGCCAGCCCCCAAGAGCCACGAGTGCCACTGCAGCTCTGAGGTCCTGCAACGCCGGAGCACACACTCACACAAGGCACATTCAGCAACAGGATTCAATACCAGCAAGTGGGGAGTAATGTACTTTTATTGAAAACGAAAAAAATATAAAAGTACCATCTTCAAAGAGCATCTCACAAACACTGTACAACAGGAGCATTGCAGTAATACAGTGGGAAATACAGAGTCGCGTTATACAGGGCTAGCCATCCGCAGGCCAGCGCCTCCGGCTGTTGATTAACGACACACAGTGGAAATACAGAAGAAAACCAGTATCTGTTTCCAGAGTCCGAAGTCGTACATCAGGCTGCCAGCACTTAATCGGTTAGAGCTCCTCAAGTTGCAGTGATTCTGCAAGGAAGTAGATTCCCTAGGAAGAAAGACCTGGCTGCTAAGGAAAGAGAATGAAAAAAAAAAATCCCTGAAAACTAAAAACTGCCCCAAAGAAGTACTCTGCTTATAACTGCTGGTGCGACTGGCACACTCGGCTGTGAGGAATTCTCTCTGCCCAGGACAGAATTAACATTCTAGGCCTCAAGGAAAACTGGTGGCCTCCAGAGTCTTTCCAAGTCCTTGCAGCAAAAATGGATCTTGATGAAAATAACAACAAAACGAACCAAACCACAACTAAAGAAAGCCAACAAACTCCCCCCAAAAAGGAAGAAAAAAGTGTTTACTCAAAATCCATCTACCCGTCACCCCGGTTTCTCATAGCAAAGGTGAGTGCAGCTGTAAGCCACGCTGAATGACAGACAAAAACGGAGGCCAGACATAACTGTCCTGTGGTGGCTAATACTATCTGTGTTAATTCGTATTTCTCGTTTTTCTTGAGAGTAAATGAATACCAGGTGTACACTAGGGCCTAGGAGGTCCCCACCAACCAGGTTTGTGTCAGTCCCAGTAAAGACCCTGATCAAATCGGACTCCAACACTACTGTATCCGCCTCTCCCTTGCCTCAGATTTTTAGATGTATATCCATTGTGTGGGTCAGCACTGCATACGGCTGGGTTGCTGGTTTACTAGCAAGAAGATTGGCTTCTCTTCCAGTATGCAATCCAAAATGTGGCACTGAGTCACGGGCCCAGGCCCCCTTTTCCTCACGTGGAGCAGCTCAGTAAGGTGGCGGGGTGTGGTGAAGCATTTCCTCACACACCACGGCGCCGATGGCTCAGTCTCCAAAGGAAGGCGTGAAAGGGCAGCAGGTGCTTGTTGGGGGCTCCTTCCTCCCCAACCTTTAGAGTGCCATTTTTCAGCACCGGGTAATAGCATCGGCACCTCCCAGAGGGGAGGGGCGGGAAAGGGAAAAGACATAACCAATGTTTGCACTAAGTAAAACTTTCAAAGGGGAGGGAAAAGAGGGAAGAGCAGATTAAAGAATTTCCAACACACAGAGTTTTAAAAAAGCAATCACATTTCAAACCATTTTGTAAAAAGGATAAAGAAAAAAAGGTTTCCATGAAAAAGCCAAACAAAATTCAGTTTTAAGAAAGTTACAAGTTTATTCATTAACTCTAAACAAACTGGGAGAAAACTCGAGACTCTCAGCATAGCTGTCTGGCTGTGGAAAGCATTCCCAGTGAATAAACATTACCTTACCTGAACTCTTGGCGAGAGATTCTGCCCCGCTTGACTCTCTCATTCTGACCGCAGAATACAGCCATCCTGAAAATTCTAAAGAACAGCTTCTGTCACTGGTTCCACTACAGAGAGACTCCCCCCAAATCCAGATCCTGCCAGCACCAAATACGCTGCAGCTGGAGAGAGGTCGCAAGGGTGGGAAACTTACCTCTCTAGAGGTCTGCACTGTCCCTTCCCCGAACGGCCCTGGAGCAGAGGCAGCGTAGGAGGGAAGGCTGCAGGGGACAGCCCTCGCCTGCAGACCCACAGGGCGTGTGCTACCTCTTCCCTCAGATCGGGTCAGGCCTGGAGCGTCAAGACTGTCTTAATCCAAGTGGCTCCCAGGCATCTCCAAGGTTAGCAATTTGGCTGCTCTTTCTGAGCTAGGACCACGCCCTTGGATTCTGGGACTCCATTAACACCCAGGGTCCCAGGGCACCACGGGCATCACAACCTTGGGGCCTCTCGATGCATGATGCCCAACACGGGCTGGCCAGCGATTTAGAAGGAACACCCAAACACAACGTGATTGTGTCTCGTGTGCTCTGCGTGTGGCCACCAAGGTTCGGTGAGACCTGATGGGAGCGAGCGATGATGACGCCCTATGAGGAGCCCGGCGGAGCGCCTGTTCTCACAGGAAGTTGTTAGAGCAGATGAAGCCGGTTTGAAAGTCGTGCCAGATTAGAAAACGTGCGAAACTCTGAGATGGATGTCGCTCAGAAGGACGTAAGTCCGTGGGTAGGAGGTGTAGCTCACTGCTAGTACTATCTCACCAGTCTGGCTCATTTCCAATGGAAGGGTGGATTCTAATCCAGAAGAAATGGATTAGAAATGGAGCTCCAAAAAAGAGGTTTGTTTATACCTTTAAATCTTTCTGTCAATGAAAGAGACTATGGACAGGCCCTCCCCTTCGCACTTGCTCTGGGATGGAACCCCACGAAATAACACCGGCCCCGAGGTGTCTCCTCTAAGCGGCAGAGAAGGAAAGCCTGCTCTCGTTTTCCTGTTAAAGGAAGGCTCTCGGCTTTCCCTGGCATCTTCAAGAGTTTATCAGAGAAGGGGATGGCAGTGCCCTTCTCTATTGGTGAGCGCAGAGACACACAGGTGCTCCTCAGGGTGAGTGCACAGCTCCCAGCTGAGTGTGCAGAGGTAACTTTGCTCCACCAGGAAATTAAACTCCCAATAACACGTGAAATTGTTTTTAGAGAGGAGCCAATGAAGTTCTCGCATTGGCCCAATGGAGTCAGGAAAGCCATGACCGCTACCAAGGAAACCTGTGCACGCTACCCAGGAGGGACAGTTCTGTGAAGGGTCAGAGCAGCCACCAGCCCTGTAGTGAAACAATGACAGAAGCTCTTCTTGGGGAAACTGGCTCTAGAAGAATGTTTGCCATTTTGGTCAATACCATCACATCACATCACACTGCAGTCACCTGGTCCCTCTTACTTAAAACGTATACAAAAGCATGTTAGTTGGTGAATTAATATAGAAACCCAATATCAGAAAGTAGTGTTCTTTGCTTCAGAAAAGAGATCAAAACTTTAAAAAAGAATCAAACATTTCGAAAACAAAAACAAAACTGCCAATTAGTTTTCCCTAATCACCATGCATCCTAGGCACATACTTACCGAGACCATGACCCTCCGGCTTACCCACACCTGGAAATGCATAGCGGAAGCAGTACTACTGCCCCGATGCCTCAAGGCAAATACGTAGAAAATAGGTTTAATCCAAGTCTCAGGTATGAGGCAGCACAGCAGGTGTAAGAAACAGGTGCCCGGAAAGTGTGAACAGAGGCTCCCTTAGCTACTCTGCTTCGATACAGACTAGGACACACCACGCTGCCACCCCAACGCCTGCCACACGGTCAGCGCTGCGAACCAGACTGAGAGTGGGCTCCAGGGCACACTCTCACGGCCTCAACAGTCCTCTCGTTTCCTCGGGGCTCATCTGCCACAGACCCGTCACACACGTGTAACTCTGCCTCCGGGCGTTCGGACGTCAGCTGGCTCAGCCCCCACACAGCGCCGCTCTCACCCACACACAGCGCTGCTCAGACACCGCCGGGACCCGACTGGCACTTCATGTCAACACACGACCCAGACCCACGGTTCCGTGCAGGACCCGGAGCCACTCAGCCCCCACCCCAGGAAAGCAAGTCGGTTCTATTTCTTCTCTGGCAACGCAGCCTTCTCCTTCCAGCCACTACCAGGCTACCCTTTACTCCAAAATCCACTGACCCTTCCAACAGGCCTGGAGGCATCTCTAAGGCTGCTACCTAGCTCAGAGGTGAGCACACCCCTGCAACAGAACAAGATTGTTAGCGCTGGCCGTGCCGGGCCCCTGGAGACGGTCAGAAAGGAGGTCAGAACTTACTGGTCCACTGAAGCCAGCCAGCTGCGTGATCAACAGGCACACGATGGACAGGACGAGCCTGGTGCGGCAGAAGGTCCACACGACCCTTCGCAGGGAAGCGGCGTCGGGCCCGGCTCCGTTCAGCTCCTCTTGCCACAGCCTCTCTAGTCTTAACAAGGGCACATGTGCTCCGTTACACACCTCCCGGCGTGCTGCGTCCCCCTGCCGGCACCGTTGGGCTCCTGGCTCTGCCAGCACTCACACGTGCACAGTCACAGCCTCTCTAGTCTTAGCAAGGGCACATGTGCTCCGTTACACACCTCCCGGTGCGCCGCGTCCCCCTGCCGGCACCGTTGGGCTCCCGGCTCTGCCACCACTCACACGTGCACAGTCACAGCCTTGCGCCCTGCGTAACTACGTGACCCTGTGCGGGGCCTCCCCGGACACAGGAGGGGTGTGAGCGGAAGCCTTCCATCCACCCAGGTTACCCCTGAGTGAACTACATGTGGGTAACCCTTCCTTTCTCTAGGCCCCCAACCCTTGCTGGGGGTCCTGCGGTGAATGTAAGTATTAACTAGACTTTCATCATGACAATCGGCTACCACAAAAATGTATTCTGTCACAAGGCAGCGACATAATCTCCCTGCAGACTCAGGAAGAGAAGCGGGGCTGAGAGAGAGAGAGAAAGCCTGTGGTTAAAACAGGATTAAAGGCGAAATAGGAGATAAAGCAGAAGAGCAGAGAGAGTCACCCCAGGCTCCCTCCCTCCACAGGACGCCCCGATCTGCCAACGGGAGCAGGGGAGCAGCGACTTCACACTCCTAGCTCAGCCCGTGCACCCGGGGAGTGGGAGACGAGGGCGGAGCAGAGACGCCTACCTTCTGCAGTTCACATCAGAAGACTCGTACTTGGACAAAGACCACACGTCCTCCATCAAGAGCTCCCCCTTCTTGTGGGCCACACGGGCCAGAGGAGACAGCCACGAGAAGGTCATGTAGGAGAAGAGTCCAGCGTTGTCCACTGGGTGCTGGTGTCTAGGAGAGAGAAGCCCAGTCACACAGGCTGTGCGCGGAGGCCGGCCGGGGAACACGTGCTGGTGGCAGGCCGAGCTCCTGATGGAGACGGGTGTCCTCGGCAGGACTCAGGTCAGCCTGAATTTGCAAACGTGCTTCTGATGGCCTTAACGCACAGCCCCTTACTTGGAAGTGGTCCGGATGGGCTTCAGAGCGCTCAGGCCCTGATGGTACTTCCCCTTGGGGTGTTCCTCATCCAGGATTCTGAGCTGAGAATGCATGGAGACATCCAGGGGAAGGCCCTCGGCTCGGGCTGCTGTTTCCAAGGCATCTTGGCATTCCACCTGATCCAACAGACAGAGAGAGGCAAGCACACGGTGAGTGAGCAGCCAGACGCGGGCCTCCCCACAGGACAGCTCAGCGCTACGGGCTGCATCAGCAGGTGAGCATGGGCTTGCATGGTATGAACCCAGGGAGGTACAGTGAGCCAGAACTTAAAAATGTTTAAACCAATACAGTACAGAAAAGCAGAAAGTGCAGATTCCCATAACTCCTGGTCTCCCACCTGACCCCACCACGTCTCTCATTATCTTCCATTATAACTAAAGTTCATAGGTTAGACTGGCTTCACTGGTCAAATTCCAAAATCTGTATTTTTTTACAGAGATTTTTGCTACAGGGCATGTGTGCTCACCAGAGAGAGAGGGGGGAGAGAGAGAGAGACGGCAGGTGAGGAAACACACCAGCAAGCCACCAAGTCCAGGACTCAAACCACAATCTCCCATGTGGGAGTCCAGCGCCTTATCTTTGGCATGAATTTTTATTTTTTTTTTTTTTTTTTGGAGAGGGGTTTTTGCTATAGGGCACGTGCGCTCGCCAGACAGACAGACAGACACATAGAGAAAGAAGGTGAGAAATCACCCCCCAGAGGGGATGGCCACGCCGCAATCCCTTCTCCTCCATTCTCCTCTCAGGATCTTGGGCACACACACACACGCGCCCGGCATGAGTTTTAAGCCACTGGGTCCGGGACACAAACTGTGGTCAACTACATGGGAGTCCAGTGACATAGCCATTATGCTAACTGCTGGTCCCCCTGGCATGAGTTTTAAGCCACTGGGTCCAGGACTTGAACCACAGTTGGCTATGTAAGAGTCCAGTGCCTTAACCACTATGTACCTACTGCCCCCCGCAATCTGTACTCTTTATTGCAGAATGTTTTATATTTTTGGCTTCCCAGTGTGGACTGACGTCAGTTACATCAATACTAACTGCAAATACTTCTGCTCATTTTTTACGAAAAAATTTCACAACCAGCCCCAAGTAAACAGTCCTGCCATGTAGAAAGAGCCAGAAAGAACACGTGCCTCCTCTCTTTCTCTCTTACGAGAACAGAGAGAGCAGAGCATGAGTTCTCACCCTGGCCGAAGAGTGGAAGGCTCCCTATGCACTTTCCTGCCGCTCCCAGCAGAGGAGCTCATGAGCTGAAATACAAAGTTGCACTTATTGACTCTAAGGTTGTGAGTGTTAGTTGATTTTACAGCAGGGAATGTAAGGTCTAACTGTGGCAAAAGAGGGGAGGCCAAAAATCTGGACACATCTGTCCCCCTTTACTTTAAAAAGAACTCAAAGTTTACATTTTCCTCCTGTAGAAGCAAAAGTTTCATATTCCTCAACTTCCTTATCTTTCTTTTCTTTCTGGGCAGTGAAATCCACATTATCAAGGGTAATTCCAGCATTTACTATGAAATAGCAAAAAAGAATCGATCCCCAGATCAAGAGAAAGTTAAGTGGTAGGTACACTACGGGCCTTACAGCGAGTACAGTCACTGTTTTCACACGCCCCCTCTTTTTCACAAAGAACAGAGACAACTTAAAGACTAGCTCTACCCCCCAAAGGGGGACTCATGTACAGGAGCCACCTATATGCCTGGACGATCAGGGACAATAGCTTTTATTGTTTAAAAAAATATTGATTTAATTTACTATTATTATTATTATTATTAATTTGCTACAGGGTATGTGTGCTCACCAGAGACAGAGAGAAAAAGAACGAGAAAGAAAGCAAGAAAGCAATCACCAGGTCTGGGACTTGAACCAAGGTCAGCCAAGGGAGTCCAGCACTTTAATCACCATGCCACCTGCTGGCCCAAGTACAATAGCTTTAGTTCCCGGACTGTCTTCAGGTAACTGCTTAGTATCAGGCAAGCACACAGCCCTGCGAAGCACACTCCTTTCCTCTTCTCGAAGGCAAGGCAGACCAGGTTTCCAGACGACAGCACGAGGTGACAAACGGATCGATGGCCAAGAAAAGAACTTGCTTATATAAAATCCTTATGTGTAATGTGAACACTTAATTAGTGGTTAGAGACTAAGGCTCTTAAAAATGAATTGAGGGGTGCTCAGGTTCAAGTAGACAGCAAAGGTTTTTCTTACCTTTAAGCTGCATGGGGAGAAAAGACGACCGGGCTGAGAGAGAAAAAAGGTGCACTAGGAACACGAGCGGGCCTGTGGGGCCCCGGCACGGGTGCAGATACAGACCCGCCCGCTCTGGCTCCCCGAAGCTTAGGACATAAGAAATGAAAGTACCACTTTGCACTTGGGTATTTGCAACATGGACTAGATGGGGTCTGTAAAGCAAACCTCGACAGATTTCAGAGGACTGACCAGCTGTATGTGAACCTACTCCAAGCAGTTTGGAAGCTTTTAAGTTCTTAAACTTGTTTCTTTCATGACAGAGCATGACAGCACACCCGTGTGTACACATACGCGACAGACACACAGGGACCCTTCACTGGGTCTTGTCGCAGAGTCATCTCCCCAGACCTCTAGCTGTCAGAACCTTGGGCCTGCTGACAGACTTGTCCCAGGTCAACCTGGGACCCCAACTAGCCACTGGTCACTGCAGAGCCGCACACAACCACTTAAGCCACTACAGCTGGGCTCAGTTAGAAATTTAATTAGAACTCAGTAACAAAGATGTCAAGAAACATCTCCAAATGTTACGAAATTATGCAAAATACTCTTCAACAAATAGGAGTTAAAGAAGACACCAAAAACTAGAAACTAGAAAATACTTTGAGGTAAATGGTAAGAAAATGCACATATCAGAATTTATGAGAAGTGCAACCAGTAGGTAGAGTAGTGGTTAAGGTAGTGGACTCCTACATGGGCAACCATGGTTCAAGTCCTGGACCCAGTGGCTTGAAAATCACACCGGGCAAGCGTGCATGCCCAAAATCCCAAGAGGAGAAGGGACTGTGGCACAGCCATCCACCCGAGGGGCATTGTTTTTTTTTCACTTTCCCTCTGTCTCTCCCTCTTCAGTGCACTAGATGGTAAAAAAAATCTTAAAAAAAAAAAAAAAATTACGGGATGTAACTAAAGCAGAACATCATAGAGTAAAATTCTTTTTTAAAAAATAATTATTTATTTTTTATTTATTCATTCATTTATTCTAATTTGACCAGAGAGAGACAGAGAAAGATATAGAGAGAGACAAAGTAAGAAAGCAAGCCACCAGGTCCAGGACTCGAACTATGGTCGGACATGTGGGAGTGTCCAGCGCCTTAACCACTACACCACAAAATTATTTTGTTTAACTTTATTTATTTTGACTAGAGAGGGACAGAAAGAGAGGAAGTGAGAAACCAAGCTGCCAGGTCCGGGTGAGTATTGGATGTTATTTGGGCATATTCATCACTTGGAGGAAAATTACAGAGAACTCTTAGACTCGTCTCTTACTGTTTCCTTTGTCATGTTCACTACCATGCTGCACACTCCTTTCCTTTTCTCAAAGGCAATGCAGGTTAATTACGTCCAATTGGAAGTTGAAGAGAAGCTACTAACTGACACAATTATACAATTGCTTTATTATGTCAAAAAATAGCATATAACATAAAAAGAGCCATTTTAACCATTCCTTAGGTTTCTTTCTTTCTTTCTTCCATAAAAGAGAGAGGCAGACAGAGCGACACTGCACCTCGGTCTCGGCCAGCCTGGGTAACATGCATGTCCACCTGGTGTGGTTCCTCCGGCGTGGACTCAGGGCCTTTTCCCTGTGGGTCTGACTGCATTTCCACTGTGCCACCACGCACCCCTTCAATTTTAACCACTTCGGTGAGCGATTCCGAGCCACTGACTATATTCACCATGTTGTACAACCATTGACCATTTATTTCCAAAATAATACGGCTCTTGAAATAGGGAAACTCTCAGGCTGACCCTATAAGCTAGTGGTTAAGGGAGCTGCATCCCTTCAGTGGCATGGTGGCTCACTGTGGTAACCTGCACCACCCACAGTTGGAATCCTGGCCGCAGTGGCTTGAAAACCATGCCAGGTGTGTGCACATGCATGCCCCACACCCCAGCAGGAAGGAAGAATGGAGAAGGGGTGTGGTGTGACCACATCCACTGGAGGGTGCTCTCCTCCCTTTCTTTTTCTGTCTCTCTGCTGAGTGTGCATGTCCTTGCACACTTAAAGAAAAATATATGGACACTTTCTTCAAATTTAATTGAGGTTAAAAATATGCTCAAACTATAATTTGAGCTTGGCAAACAGCTCCACTACCAATTTGTATAATGAATGGAGAACTCACTTTTTTCTTTTTAGAATTATTTTACTTGACTGATTTATTTATTTAGTTAGTTCGTTAATATTTATATATTTGACCAGAGAGGGTGAGAGAGAGAGAGAGAGAAAGCTGCCAGGTCTAGGACTCGAACCATGGTCAGCCATGTGGGAGTCCAGCACCCTTAACCACCACACCACCTGCCAGCCCCGAGATCTCACTTCTCTTCTGACAGCATGTGAAGTATATAAAACAGCTTCATATTATGATTCAAACATTAGCTGGCACTGAAATCACTTTACAGTACTATCTTACACCCCCACACGCCACATCTACATGGGGCTCAGTTCTTCCACATCCTTGTGAGAATTCAGTCCTGGCATTCTTGTTCGTTTGTTCGCTTCAGCCACTCTAACCGGCGTGGTACAGCGGCTCCCGGTGGTGACCTGCACTGCCCTAATATATGTTCTTATCTGTCACCCACCTATTCTTTTTGATGAAGTGTCTGTTCAAATCTTTCGCTCATTTTCTAAGTGGATTGTTTTCTTAGTGTGAGTTTAGAAAGTTCTTTATATATTCTGGATTCAAGTTCTTTGTCAGATGTGACTTGCGAATATTTTCTCCCATTTCATGGCATGTTTTTATCCTCTGCACATGGTCATTTACAGGACAAAATCTTTCAATTTTGGTGAAGTCTAATACTTCTTTTTCTTTTATGGATTGTGCTTTTAGTGTCATGTCTAAAAACTCTTCATCTAGTCTGGTGCGTGAAG